GGTTCAAGTTGGGGAACCTCAAGGGTGGGACGCAAGCATCAATAATGCAGAGCTAGTGATCCACCCCACTTTGGGCTTAGCTCATCTCATCAGGAGGCTTTACACAGGATTGGTACTACTTTTTAAACAGGCTGAGAACACACAGCTCTGAGTTTACAACTGACACCTTCCTTAGTTTATTAGCCCCTCGTTTCAATACTACTTTATGAAGGATGTCACCATTTTCAAGTGTTACTAGGTTGTTTTCTGAAACCAAGATCCTGAAGACCATCAAGAAGAAAGCCTTCAAGAATTTCAGTCTTCACAGATGGTGCAAATTCACTGTCAGATTTAAGACCAAAGAGGTGGTCAAGCAGCAGATCTGGGGTACCTTAGCCAAGCCTTGGAAGCTGATCCCCCTTTTCTTGGTGAAGAAAGTCTTTCTTAATTACTGGTGGTTGATGTTTATAAAAGTTTAAGCCAGTTTACTGGAAGTTTGGTTTTAACATCAGCCCTAGCTGGTGATGCCACTTCAAACTCTCCAAATTCTCTCCATCGGCCTATTCCAAGCTCATCACATGAAGAACAGCCCCGGCTCCCAAGAAGTGCTGCAAATGCGGTCCACCTCATTAACCGACTTTTGGTTGACAAGATCAACTAAGAATAAACAATAAGGGATTACATACATTTAAAGATGAACAGGACTCATCTACAGAAGTCTACTTAAGATAACCGAAGATGTTACAGAGCCTGCATGACCCCTCACAAAGCTCTTCAGTGACTGCAGACGGAGCACCCTAGTTCTTGGGTTCTGTCCTGCCTTGCTGTGCACTAACAGTCACGCTGATCAGAGCCACAACTGCAACTCCTCCATATTCTTTCTTCGATAGCGAACAAAATCAATGGCCTACAAAAGCAAAAGGAACGAGGGAAACTAACACTGGTTACACAGCAACCAAATAAACCTACATTCAGCTTTTTCAAAAAATGCTGGCTTGCATCTTTGTTCTTGATCTTTCAATCTCATCATTTATACTTCCATCCTGGGTCTCCTCTGCAGGCTCATCAGGACACACCATCTACAAGAACAAGTGCATCCAATCATGGGAAGAGTTGTCTTTTTCCCCATAGTTCAGGGGTCCAACAAGAAGAACGTGTGCAGTCACATCAACGACTTGCTAAGAGATGTGTCCATAGGAGATATTCATTGTAAGTATGCATATGGTCATCTTAAAAAAAGACTATTTGCTTACAGATGGGCAAGAAGAGTCAATACACTAGATCCATCTTCTCCCTGAGAAGTTCTCATCTCACCATATGACTGTAAAGCAAATGCTCAACTTCTCACACAGGGAGTCAGGCTGAGAGAGGACCAGAACCAAAAGCTCTGTTGCCAAATTGGAGGAGGAACAGTAAAACATAGGGATAAGTCACTTGTGCCATGGGAGTCTCTGAACAGTCAAGATTCCTCTCATCTCCTTTGATGACAGATGCCTTGTGCTCTTGCACCCGAGCAGAGTCCAGCATGGCAAGACCAACAGACAGTACACACAGATGTTAGCAGCAGCTTACGTCTAAATCAGAGAGCCGAAACTTGCAAGAGCCAATTATAAAGACTGGTGATAACCTATACATAGCTAAGACAAGTAGACAGAAGACCATCAGGGTTACTCACTATTGCTCACAGATTAATGCCCCTCTTTAGAGCGCAAGCCAAATATAGCAATAAATGAAGATTACATAAAGTTGCTGGATGTGATAGCAGAGGAAAGTTCAGAACTGAAGCATCAGGAACAAAGGAGACTAGTCACGAGGGAAGAGAGATATAGGAAGAAACACAAACTCTAAAAGAGGGGGTAAAGGCACAGTTAGAGCAAAAAAATAAAAAGCAATCAAGCCACAATAAGTTTAACGGAATTATTTAATGGTGATCAAATTCCAACACATTACAACAGTACAGGTAGATAATGTTAGAATAGATCTATTCACACACACTTTCCAGATGAGGGTAAATGTAGGGGCAGCAAGATGGTAGTTGTAGGAATTTCTCCTAATACCTCTGATTGCTGTTACACATGCAGGGGTTGGTCTTCACAGATCCAGAACGCTGGACAGCAGGTTTTTCCTGTTTTTAACCCTGCATTGGGCTCCCTTCAAAGCACTTCTTGTCCCTGGGTATTCCCTGGAGTAAGCAGCTTCTGCCAAGCCCAAAACAACCAACATTTACCACTTTGGTCATGAACTTGCTGTAGAGTTGAGCCTAGACAGAGGAGCCAAAAAATGTACAGAAAAAAAGAGCTTAAGGGGGTTGGGGTAGAGACTAAGTGTTTTTCAACCCTATGAGGACTCAGACAGAACTCCCTAGTGCTGAAGGAATGAGGGCGAAATCGCTCCAGGGGCAGGTAAGGAGTGGTTGTGTCAGAGGATGCCTTCCCTCTACTCCAGTATCTTCAGGGGCTTTTGTTCCAGCAGGAGGAGGGTTCTAGGCTGTGCGTGGGTAAGCAAGCCTGCCTCAAGCCAAAGGGCTCGCCAGGTCGAGCAGAAGTGCTGCTGAGCACGTTCTGCAAGGTCAACTTGTCCCGTTATTCTGACTCTTTAGAGCAAGACAACATGCGAACGGCAGCCGCATTGAGCAGAACCGCTTCACCTGCCACGTGCCTGGGTGTTGTGTCATGTTCTCTGCAGGCGCAAGAGCTGCTCCACACACGGGAGGAACACAGCCCGACACAGCAAAGCACTCATCCTGCCTTCAGGCTCCTGGTCGTTTACCACTTATAGGAAAGGAGATCAAAGAGAACAGCTCAAAAGCAGTTTTGCTGCTGTAAACAATGAAGACAATGACTAAAGAGGGTCAGAAAAAGTAGCCAGGCCTTCTGTCACTAGCTGCAGCTTCTGAAAACTAGGAAAGCTACCACTTGGCCTGAAATGGCAAGGGACAGGTTACTACTTGCTTTACTGAGCACAGTAGGGACACACAATTGTATCTTAGTTTCACTGTGCTTAGCTACATCATTTGACATGTGCAGACAGCAAACAAAAGTCCGCAGACACTTCAGCACGCAGCTCGCTTCAGAGCATTGGTAGAGCAAAGTGACCCCAACGCAGAGTGACTCTTGCATTGCCAAAAGGCTACAACTACGAAACACTGCTAATACTTCCTGCCTAAGGATAAGCTAGAAACAGCACGTAGAGTCCACAAGCACCTCTAGGGTAAGCTTCATCCTGCCAGCTAGGAGGATTCTACCCAAAGGCAACAGCACCCGTTAAGCTCCCTGGCACTTCCCACATCCTGAGCTGGAGCATCACGGCGCCTCGTGCGCAAACACGATGGACGCACACGAGCAGCCCCCGCAAACTCACTTACAAACAACAGGCAGGAGAAGGGGGTAGATGTGTTGGCAAATAATGCCAGCTGCTCAATACAGGCAACGGTCCCAAAAGATCTACACGCCGTGTGGCCCACTGAGCTCCAAGTCTTTTGTCCTCTGCTTTATCCTGTTTTTGTAGATGGGTGTTGATGAGCGCATCAAATGCATCCAGTCCTGTGTTCCAGCTTTACATCGTTGCCAGTTAGAGGAATCTAAAGAGCAGAGGAGTAACTTTATAAAATGAGTCTCGCTTAGCACACAGCGAAAGGAGAACAGGGAACTGAACAAGCACTTACAGCTTACGCTCAGAGGAGTCTCAGTACAAAGAAAGCCATGCAAAGGGAAGGAATTAACCAAGTCAAAAAAAAGTTGGACAGTGACTGAAAAATGCTTCATCACTTGACAACTGGAGCTTCTAGAAAGGCAACAAACTACCTGTGGCTTCCTGTACTGTTTTGTGCTTTAAAGCACAGCTGGGCAATATAAGGTTTTCAAAAGAGCCACGGGACAGGCAGCCCTAGGAATGCCTGTGACAGTGGTGGCACTTGTGAGGTGACCGTGGTTGCAACACCACCCTCAACAAGGGGCCAAGCCCCAGGAGGGGCAGCACAGGACGCCCTGGGGCCATCCTGGCAGGCTGCTTTTGCCCAGAGCACGACATTGCGAAGCAAACCAGCAAAAAAAAAAAAAAAAAAGCCCAAACTGCTGCAGTATTTCATTCCAAAAGTGCCTGTCACTTCCACACAAGGAGGTGGTGACATGGCATTGAGCTGAGGTTGTCCAAGCACCCAGGACTTCACTGCTGCAGTTGATGTGCGGTTGCACTGCTGGCTCCTGGCATGTGCTGCTTCTGCACCTTCACAGCAAAGGAAGCCATCCCCCTCCGCTTCTGTTCTTGGTACTGTTCCTTCCTTTTGCTCTCCATCTTACAGCTCGTCTGTACGGGCCTCCTGATGTGCTCCGGGCCTCAGCAGGTGTAGTTACGAGACAGACCTGTCCCCAGAACGCTCTTGTAAAGCAGTGAAGGGAGCCCACCCTAAATACCCTGCTGCTAGGTCTGCAGCAGCCCCAGCCCAAACCCTTGTGCATCTCCAAGAAAATATGACCCTCCCTCCCTCAAGCCCTGGCCGGGTGTCTGCACTGCAGCTCACTCATGTTCTCTCCCCTATCGCCACGGGTCCAGCAGGAGCGCCAGCCTGCGCATTAAGATAGAGGTTTAGTGAGAAGTAAGGCTAGTTCACAATTAAAGGTTAACAAAAGACTAAATTCAGGCAAACTTGTAGCTATTGACCTACTTTCTAATTTTGCCGCTATAGCAAAAGTAGTTTTCATATTAGAGGCTACGTTTCCATGCAGGGCCACACTCCTCGTTTAGGAAACATTAAGTGGCCTAAGGGCAAAGAGACTTGTGGCCTAACACTGAGTGCTGAGTTTGAGAGGCCTCGAGGCAGCTCATGCCTCCGCACAGCACCTTCCTCCCAGTTCCCCAGGGGCTCCGCATCCTCCCTGCAGCCTTGGCGCCGGCAGAAGATGCTCCCACATCCAAGTCTCTCCTAGAGCGTGCTGCACAGAAGACTCCAAATAAACACTACTAACACTTATATCCAGAAGTGCATACACAAGGACATCGAGAGATGAGACGAGTGGAACAGATTTAGACCAAAAGCAGTGGACATTTATTCCTCGTTTGTGCAAGAGTGTAAAGATGCATTTGAAAATGGATGGGACAGACCCCTGCGGCCAGAGAGCTGGAGGCTACAGCCTCTCCTTTATAGTTGATGGCTTTGTTTACAATTATCTTAAGAGGAGATAAACTTGCAGACTCACCTATTTCACATGAATGATGCTGGCAAATACACTTGTATACAAAGAAAAAGTTTCAAACTACATTTTCACTAGATTCAAGTGAAGATTTTTGTTCAAAAAAAGACACATACAAGTACAATTTAAAACTGTATGAACATTTGCAAATGTTTAGTGCAAAGTAATTATGTAAAAGCTACATTTTATGAAAGTTTGTGCTGATGTGTTTGGTAAATTTTTTTTACCCTTTTACATCCATTATTTTAGTTACATAAGGTTTCACTTACCTACAGTACATATGCATTGTGTTAAGTCCCATGCAAGTGGGAATACCACCATTAGGCTTTGTAAAATGTCACTCAGATTCTCATTTAGTAAACTGCTTATTTGGTTTAACAGTCAAGTTCCTGGCACACTACACATCTTGATTTCATGTAAGTTTAAGCTGTCTGCCTTGTTCAGCTGCATAGCCTTGTGTGATGCAACCCAAATTCCTTCATGATTTTCAAATGCAACCATTTGTGAACGCTGAAGTTCTAAGGAAATCCACCATTAGTTTCAGCCTGTAACAAACTGCTCTTAAAATTAAAAGCCTATTCACACAAAGTTATATGTAATGACTGTAGTAATCAGTTTATTACACAGATTAATCATTCTTGAACGTACAAGCTCCAGGGGAGCAGCTGGGTCTTTAAATATACACAAGTTTTCTGTCAAATGAATTTTTACCCTTACATCCAGAAAGACCTAAGCAGTTAAAAAACTTAAGAAAAATAAGAGCTATTAGCTATGTATTAACTGAGAAACCACATACAAACCAAAAAAAGTATGAGGGAGGGGAGAGAGTTGAAACAAATCAACATCACTTGATGCACTAATAGCTCCAATCCATTTAAATGTTGACCAGTTAAACTTAGACCTTAAACACAGGATGTGGGTACAGTTTATCTCATTGGTCATAACATTTACCTAAGGTGTAGGTCCTTCAGAATAAAATGAATACAGAAACAGCTTCAAGTTCTTCACCTTGCTTTTCATAACTGTTGTGAGTTTAAAAGGATTCCACTTAAAATCCTTCATGGATAGGTAAAACTGTCCCTAGAAATATATAGCACCCACCAGAACTCTCCCATTCACGCCGTATTACCCACTTAAGGAATGCTTTTAGGCTCACAAAGTTATGACTGAAGAACTAGCTTTTCACACACACACACTTCTTTGCTAGGAGTCAATATTGGTACGGGGAAATACAGTATTTCTATTTTGTTGTTCCAAGTATGTACAACACGCAGCACTGCTGTATCAGGTAAACATGTGCACAGGGGAAGATGAGGCGTGGGCTCATAGAAAGCAGTCAAATGGAAATCAAAAGGACTTTCTCTTTCAGAGTTCCCCTATCTTTATTTGTAGAGGTTATCCAATAATTTCTTTAATTACATCGCATACTTCTGAGTCCATTCCCGAGCTATTCTGTTGTACCTGCATGTATAAAAAGAGGATTTACTCAACATAATATCCAGACAGTGCACTTCAACTCTAGCAGTCTAGTCTATACATGGCACCAATTTACATTTCTCCAGTAATACGGGTTTGTCAAATTTACGAGCAAACTGAGGTATGAGGCGAACAGGAGGGCGACTAATGATCCACAATGCTTCATGGAAAAGCAAATCCCCACACAAACTTGGCATGCTTTCAAAGGACCCAAAGACCTTGGGGACTAAACCCACAGAAAAGCCAGGGCATATTTCAGAGGCAAACATCTTCAGGAAGTTTTTTACCTGTTCTCTCCCTCCCCTGTGTATCTTTGGGGAAACTACTACCACATATATTCAAGTTGGTATCCTGGAAAAATTCCCAATTAGTATCTCCTTCCCACCCCAGTCTTCCACCCTAAGTGGTAAGGTTAAATCTAACTCCTAGTGTAGAGCAGGCACCAAAGCCCAACAGGCTCAACAGCCTTTCTGGCCTCTTTTTGCATGCCATCCAGCACACTTGGCTATTAGATGGCTATGGGGGCACAAAGCTTGTCCCCCTCAAGTCTTTACGCTGAAGCACAATATACTGCTCTCTGCAAGCCACCTCTTTTTGCACTAAAATGCCCTTTACAGCCAGTCACATCTAGAGGAGGCTCAGAATAGATATGTAAAGCAGAGCAATTACAGTGATTAAGAGCACTGATAAAAAGCTCTATTTCTGACAATACAAGCTGCTCTCATTCTACAGAATTTTTAGGAAAAAACACATAAGGCACCATGACTCTATAATGGCAAGAGGTTTTCTCGTCATATACATTTACTAATAATATGGATTGTAACTGTCTATAGAAGAAAGCTCTCTATGCCAAGAAAGTAAAGAAACTGCTCATGTGAAGCAGGAGAGCAGGTGCTGGAGTTTACTCAAAAGCAACTCCAGTTACAGCATAGCAAAAACCTTTCATTTTGGGGAGGAAAAAAGTGCCCTGCACACATTAAGGGCCAGCCAGGCCCTGTTAACTGTGTCTCAAAAGAGGGACTGCTCCTCTTGCAGCTCTCCCATTAAAATCAGGCTGCATGCGTTTCCCAGCCCTCATTTTCCATCTTTCAGTATAAACAGCAAGTTTCTGGATTATTCCCCTTTCCTTCCCATCTTGTTTGCATTGGATGACCATGTAACTTCAGAAACTAATCCCACTGATCCAGTCTGGAAGGCAACAGGGAGATGGAGAAACATTCACAATGGTCATTGAATTGCTGCTTTCAAACAAGGCAGTTTAAAGCTTTTCATTAGTTCTGGGTCCTCTCCTCTTTGTATTTGTATTTTGCCTCACAATAAACTTGCAAGTCCTCCCACCCCATCTCTACATCATTTGTTCCCCCCTTGCGTTATCAAATAAAAGCAAAACTTTTTGTTATTTCCTTGCTAGCTCAACTCCATCACCAACAGCTAGCATGGGAGTGTTTTCCCACTGAAGTAACTTGCTCTCCCTCTGCTGGTTGCAAGGAATTAAAGCACACAATGAGGCTTTGCATTATTGTGCACTGAGCACTTCCATTAAACTCCATCAAGCAAACCCATGATTAACACTAATGAAAAACTATTTTGTGAGGCAAGAACCTTCTTCTGTGCGTAACAAACCCACAGATCCCCACATACCTGCTTCCAACAGCAGATACACCTTGCTCCTACAAGCAGTGCTGTTAAAATAAGCGTACTAAAGCCCCAGGAATATCACTACAAAGACTAGGCTTTAAGGGTAAAGGCAAAAAAACAAACCAAAAAACACCCACACTCAAAGATTAGATGTTTCCCCAGAGCCCCTTTCCAGATCCCCTTTACTATTTAAATGTGGATTCTGCTCAAGGACATTACAAGCTCTTGGCTTCCATACTCACTTTTCTCTATCTGTTTTGTAGATCCGTGCAATCTCAGGCACTAAAGGATCATCTGGATTGGGATCACACAACAGAGAACAGATGGACAAAAGTACTAGGGAGAGAAAAAAACAAAAACAAAACAAAACAAAAAAAAAAAAACACACTGCATTACTCCATTGAGTGAGCTAAAGACACCCGTAGAAGTAAATCCAGCCTCTGTTCTTCCCCCTTAGTCACAAGTATCCCTGTACAAACACCACGGAGCAGTCAGTCTCACACACTTGAACCAAGTGATTTTGCACGAGCGATTCTCACCGTTAAATTCGGCAGCTTTGCATGGCCACAAGCTTGATCAAGTATTACCACAACAAGCGGGAACCCCTGGGACAGGAGTACCCAATTACATCCTTAAACATCACAGCTCATAGAGAGCTCAGTTTGAAACATCATCTGGAGCCTTACAAAGTGTCCCTGCTTTTACATTTGAAATGCTGCTTTCACCAACCCAGATAATCCCCACCAATGACATGCAGAAGCGCTAATCAAAAGTCACAATGTGGAGAGGCCCAGGAATGAAGGAAGCCCAAACTGCTGGCAGCTGCTTTATTGCTGTTTTTTTAAAGTCTGCACAGAGAATTAAGGGGCTTTATCTAGTTATTTTCTCAGCATAACGTGGGTTGAGATAGCTTAATTATAAAATAGTGCTCGCCATGAATCAAGGAAGCCCAACCTACTGCACTCCTACCAGCCACAATGCCCTGAACTTTCGTGCTTTACTATAAATATGTACTGTATGTATTCTAGAAGCCCCATCTCGGTCAAACGCTGACGCTTTGTGTAGTACCGGCCTCTGGCCATATTAGGAGATGGAAGGCTACTTGCAAAGCACATGCATGTTCCTACATTTGCAAAGGGGGCAAGAAAAGGCAGCAAGGCATAAGCAAAGCACACTGCAGCCCTCCATTGAGTGCGTATTGGGGCTCCTTGTCCCTTAAGGAGGGACAAAGCACCCTCCGATGGAAACACGTCGAGGACGAGCGGTGCAAACATCGCTCCACACATCCCTCCACTGCCAGCAGCAGAGCTGTCACAAGGCATCCTCAAAGGAAGCCAAAGACAACAGGAGTTCTCATTTTTAAAGCCTGAAGCTATAAACACTAAACTGATGAAACTTCCCTCGATTGCTACTGTTAAAGGGGAGCTGATGAGGCAGAAATACCAGAGTGCTGCAAGATGTCAGCTGGAAGTCAGAGACTAGCACACACTTAACCTGGCTTCACTCCTTACAGGTAGCTCTAAGCAGAGAGCACGGAACAAAGTGCAGAGATGTCGAGGAAGTCTGATGGTTGCTTAAGCTGGGCAAGTTCAAGTTAGGATAAAAAACTAGCTAAGATTCCGCTTAACTGAACTAGTTTCTAGCTAAGCTACACAAATGTGGTGGTGAAGAAGCCTAAGAACTCGCAGTAACCCCAATCAGTTCAGCTCTCCAGATAATTTGCACAGTTCATATGTGAACCACTTGAACCCGATCTAAGCAAACATGTTTCTTGCTCTGGAATTAAACATCCTTCTTCAAGCGTCCTGCTCCAGGGCTGAGCCAAGACGTCACTGCAACCTACAGGCAGTTCATGTTCTCCAGCTAGAAGGAACAGGTAATTCTTCAACACACAGGACATCAAGAAACAACCCTCCAAGACAGTCCTGATCAAATTATGAAGACAATATAATCGTTTTAATAGAGTTTTAATAGAGTTTTAGATACTTAAGAACTCAGTAGTATGTAAATACTTGGCCTTCTCTCACCAATTGTGCTTGTACAAGAGGTAAAAATCACCTCTGTGCTTGCATGAAAACTCTGCTCACACAAAATCCTCATAGCGAGTGGGCCATGCAGCCCAGAAAAGCAGCAAGGTCTCTGCTGCAAGCACCTCTAGGAAGAGCAGCAGCTTCCAGGCTTCAGCAGTGCTCCTCTTAAGAGGGCACAAAGACTTTCCCCTGCAAATGCCAAACCTCTGCAAATAACTTCTTAAAATAAAAAGATCCAGTTCTTTCAGGTCTCACGTCCTCTGGCGTCAGTCATCCCTTGCAGTTCCTAAACAGGCTACTCAAAGAAAAAGCAGGTTTTAAGTTTTTCAAGTGACTAATTTCCAGCGGCACTAGGTTCATTACTTGCGACTGTCTGCTTGTAAGTCACAGCTTATTGATTCTCTGCCATCAGTTGCCGCTTGGAACATTTATTCAAATCCTCCTTTGAACACGGCTTCACACGATGCCCTTCACAGGTAAAACCCAGTTTGGAGCCGCAGCAGCCTTCTGTGCCCAGCCACTGGGCATGGCTCCAGCTCGGTGCCCATGGCACAGGGCTGCTCCAGGACCGTTTTCCTGCTGCTCTGAAGCACGTTGCCCTTATGGGGAGAGAAAGGGGAGTTCATTTGTGTCCTAGCCCAGGAGTTCTCCGTCTTTGCTTACAAGTGAGGCGAGCAGCTCCGTGCTACTTCCTGGCCAGTGCAAACCCCCTGACATCGATATCCTCTTTTTCCTGAAATGGGCTGGGTTGTTTTAGAACTGAATCAGGAGCTAAATGCTTTCAGTTATGACTTCTGGGGACCTGGTAAATCAGAAAAGCCATTTCACAATTCAGTACTTTGTTTGCATTAGAGTAGCACTCCAGTCACCTAACACCAGCATTGCTGCTACACTTTTTTTAAAGCTATTCTCCATTATCCTTCCTCTAAAGGGGTTTATTAGCCTCCTGAACCCAGGTATTTGTCCAATATTAATTCAGGATGTCGTTCTGTTTAGGTTTCTCTTCAGAGTACTCCACAACTCCCATGTTTTCCACCAATATAAGCAACCTGCAGACCAGCCTTACAAGCTCTTAGAGGAAGTTTTCTCATGAAATTCAAGGAGTGAAATGCAAGGGGAAAGAGGGAGGAAATAATGAAGAACTGGCTAGTTATGAATGTGAATTCTTCCCTGATACCTAGAACAACTGATGAAAGCAGCACTGTGCAGAAGAGCCTCTCCAGCCCCCCATGCTCTGCAGTGCAGCTCGGCATTATGGCATGGAAGCCACAGTAAGACTTGGATGTTTACTAGCCTTCTGACTACAAGACCAGCATGAGAAGGCACTGAAACACAAAGCATAAGCAAAGTTCACCAAACAAAACCTTGTGACCACAGAATTGGGTCGAGCAACTACACAAGAGGGGAGTCTGCAGTGATGCTGCCTTCCGCCGCACTCCGCTTTCAGGCGCCTCCTCGTCCCACTTACGACAGGCGAAGTCTGCTCCAGCGGTGCCAATGTGGCAGCATCCCTAACAGGGCCTTCCACAGAATGGAACACACAAGTTGTGAAGTTCTGAAGGGAAAATTGGATTTTTTACAATATTAGCAAAATAAAACTACACTTTCCTCCAATTTAAGGGGTTCTCAGATACAGAGCTGCTTTCTCACCTCTTCGGTTTTAACTGTCAGAGCAGTCCAGGCTGTAGGAAACACTAGGCTCAAACAGCCACATGGGAGTTTCAAGCTCCCTTGGATTCACAAATTGATTTTGCTCTTATCTTTCTTTGCCTGATTAACTCCTGATAACTTCAACTCTGCTCCCCATCTACCTACTGCAGACAGTGCAGAACAGCTTCTTCTTTAGCAGACTTACTGCTATAAACTAGTATGGAAAAAAGTGTTTCATGACACCTAAATGAGGACCTGGGGGCGGAAAAAAAGGGAAGAATTAACCAGAAAATGCTAATGTTCCTAAGTAATGTGCTTAGCTTTCCCTAGCACATTTACAAAAGGCCACGCATCAAGCCTGCTGACCGCTTATTATTTAGCATCACGAATGCTCCAGCAATTAAGTTTTTTGAAACAGGCTAAAATCTACCAGAGTTACACTGCACATCTCCAGTTCTCTGAGACGGGTTTCCATTGCAAGACTTCCCTTGAAAGGGCACAGAGAATGATCTGAAGTTCAAGGACAGCTTTACTCAACATGGACTTTACGTGCAGGGAGTTGCATCCCTCGGAGCTTGTCAACAAGCTGCAGTTCGTTGAATGAGGCTCCAGCTCATCTTCTCAGATGGCTTCAGCGCAGGGCTTGCGCCAGTAGCAGCAGTCATCGGTAGCATTTATCAGTTTCTGATGAAGCATTTTGTCTTTCTGGTTCTTCCAAATTGCAGACTGAATCTGCATCTACCTGCAGCTTCCATGTGAACTCTGTGGCTGGGTCTCTTCAGCACACAGCACTGGAACCTGAGTGGGCTCAGCCATTTGTGGGGACACAATTCCTAAGATGAGCTCCCTGCGAACCTCCTGCCTCCCAGCACCAACTCAGCGAGCAACAAGGAGCACAGTTAATATCACATCTGCCCACCAGAACACATTACTGGCACACAGGAAGTCAAGAAGCCTGGAAAGCTCCTGGAACTCAGAGGCAAAGAGGCTCAGAAGCCCCAAGCTCCAGCTGGAAAGAGAGTTCCACAGTCAGAAAGAGCTTTTTCCCAGTGTCCCAAGAGGAACAAGAAGTAAAGCTGCTCGGTTATTCCCACGTGGCAATTCGCTTGGGCTCGTGGCAGGCAAGATTTGGTAACCCAGGGCAAATGTCACGCACCTAAGAGACAGCTTTGCACATGCCAGGTTTGCAGCCATGGCTCAGGGACCTCTTCAGATCCATATGTCCCAGCCCAGGAAGCTTCTGCATTTTAGAAGCAACTGGCCTAACTCTCCCGCTAGCCTGACAGGCAAGTCCAGACACAACTGAAAATTTCTATTTAAGTCTGGTTACAGCATGAGACTCTTCTAGATAGAAGACCCCAAAGCTGCATCTCCTGGATTCTTTGGATACCAGCACTAACAAGTGCCAGTATTAGGGCTTGTTGTGGCCTGTCACCCTACACGGTCCTGAGGCTGATTAACACAGACCCTTCTGAAAGAAGGCCGAGATTTCCTGCAAGGCAGGGATTCCAAGAGATTGCCAAAGGAACATGCTTATCGCTGTGTTCTCACTGGAGAAACAACCTTCAAAATTCAAAATGGAGCAATCGAGCCTTGTCTGCCAAGCCCAGCAATTCCAGCTGTCCCTGTAACACAAAATACTGATATGTACCTACA